GTACATAGATGCAGATTGACTTCAGAAAGTACTGATCTCTGGCTCCAAACCTTGTATAACTGTACAGTGTAGTTAATTAGTACCTCCTACAGAAGTTAGCACTGACTAATAACCCTGTTTGACTTCCCCCACTGACTCCACAGCATGGCCTCATGGAAGGGGTGCTGGTCTGTACAGGACTACATCTAGTAGCAAATTGATGTTGTCATCTCTTTAGCATGGTGCTTAGAGAAGCTAAAGTTTGAGGCCCAAGACCAAAGGATTTACCTAATGTCTTTTGACTTTAGAGGGTTTTAAATATATTATCTTAAAAAAAAACCCACCCCATTTTTTTCAATCTTTATGATTCTAGAGACTGAGTCAGAGATGGGTGCTCTCAAGCTTTGTCTGTCCTGGGGAAGGGTGGGTGTTCCCCCTGTGACTAGCAATGTTCTATCTAAAACAGCCTTCCTCTTCCACATTTTAAGCCCTGTCAAGATGCAGTGGTGCCTGTGTCCTTTCCTTGTAATTATTTCTCTGTGTCTTTAAGGTTTTTCTTTTCCAAGATGCTCTAATTAAAATGCAAATAAATACCTACAGCAGAGGCCAGTGATTCCCCATGTGCATTTCACCATATGGTCACCTATTATTTTAGGCTTTGTTGTTCAAAAATAGTTTGGGGAATACTGGCTTAAACAAAATCAAGCAGGTTTCTTTGAAGATGCCTTCTTTTAATCTTGATATAATAAAACAATATACTGTGCAATGCTATTTATTTGGCTAGAGAATATTCTATGTGTTGCATATGACATAATTTAGGACATGTGCCCTCAATTGATCAGTGCTGATCTTGTGCTGAAATTAAATTATTAGAGCTTTATCAACGAAATCTGTGTACTGAAATCAATGTCCTGAGAAAGTCAGACAAAAAATGAGTGTGGTCCATCCAGGGGTAGGGCATCAATTGATAATATAGAACAAGAACACTGTGGAGGCTAAGAGCTAGCTTTGCATGTTAAAGTGAATACATAGAGTGAGGTGTACAGCTATATGAAATGGTATTTCAGCCAACCCAGGTCCATTTGTAGCTCTTCTGGAGTTTTTGCTTTGACATGGCAAAGCCCCAAAACTCAGTTTATTGCAACTGATCTCCTCAGTCTCCTTGAATGGCCCCACTATCCAGTCACATCTTATACATAAACCTCAGAATCACTTGGATTCTTTCTGCACCTTTGATAAATATAATTCTAAGAATGATCACTTCAATGGTGCTTATCTTTGCATAATTTCATTTCTTCCAATTATCATTATAGTGAAATGTCATCATTTTGTGTTGCATGGCAAAACATTTTACAGTGTTATTAAGGCTACTAATTAATTGACATTGCATTAATCAAAGGGGAAACATTGGGGAAGAATGAATGAAATATAAATATTAAGTCAGTGAAACAAAATAGTGTACAAACCATTAGGCAAAGTAACAAAAAAGAAAAAGAGGGAAGAACCAGATTAATAAAATCATGAAAAAAATGTGAATACATTACAACAGATAACAATGAAATGTAGAAAACCATTAGGTCATACCTTTTAAGGAAAGTAACAGAAATGGATGGTTTTCTATCTGCATATCAACTTCCAAAATTGAACCGAGATGAAATAAGCAATTTAAACAGATCTATAAGGAGCAATAAAGTTAAAAAAAAAAAGTCCAGACCCACATCTTAGTACACCAGACCTTTAAAAAAGAACACAAAGGCTTCCGAAACTATTACATACATTAGAAAAGGAATGACTAGTGCAGCTCTTTTTATAAAGCCAGTGTTACCCTTATACCAAAACCAGATAAAGAAACAACCACCAAGAAAAACGTAAGCTAATCTGCTTGGTGAAGATAGCTGTAAAAATTCTCCTTTTTCTTCTCAACAAGTGATACTGGAAAAATTAGATATTTATGAAAAGAAGAGGGAGAGGTAATGGGGAATGAATGTGATCAAATTGCAAAGTCATACAGGCACAAAATTGTCATAATGAAACACATTTCTTGCACAACAAATAATAACACCAGTAAATGTTTTAAAATGTAACAAATAGTGATGGCATATGGGATTCTCACCACCCACACAAAACAATCATCCTTATTTAGCCCTGTGGTACTGTGGTGCTGCCACACTTCTAATAGTCTGCCCATTTTCTTGCTTTCCTTCGTGAATCTTCTACTTTCTATCCCTTACACCATCCCCATTTGGAAAGAACGTGAAGTCAAAACTTACAAGTCAGAAAAATCTCCTTTTATTATGGCACTTTAGGTAGCAAGAATGACCTTAATATAAGATTGATGCAAATACCTTTTAGAGACCATCTTGTAGAATAGCAGATTAAGGTGGTAGAATCAGGAAGCAGAGGCAGGAGGTTTTCTGAGAGTTCAAGGCCATTTCAACCTCCAGGACTACATAGAGAGACAGTCTCAAACACACACACACACACACACACACACACACACACACGCCAAAATGAAAATATGAGGCTCATAAAATTGACATGATTGGCCGCACATCACTTAGCTAGTGCCTAAAAACTGAAAAGCTTGAATTGCAGTCTAGGTTTCTTTCCAGTTGATGAATGTCAGAAAATGACTGTCACTATGGGAGATTAGAATACCAGTCCCAATCTTCTGATTGAATTAGTCAATTACTGTTTCTATTGCTGTCCATTCAGCATCACTTTTGTTTCTGTACTTAAACACCATTATCATATCCTGGTATGGTATTGTAGCATATTTTGTAGCATTTTCCCTTTAAGAAATTGTAACTGATGCTTGAAGACACTGGAGAGTATTTTCTATTCATTGGACATAGGCTTGCTCACTTAAGATTTATACGTTACCTTTTACACGTTATCAGGAGCAGTCAAGAATACCAAGGAATGATCCATCTTCACATAATACTGGAAACCCATACTAAAAATCACAGAGGTAAAGTAGACGAAGAGCACTAATGCTTATTAAGTGATATGTGAATACCAACAAATTTATTTGATAATGAACTGCATATTAATATAGAGGGCTAAGCTTTTTTAAAATAGTGTTTGGGTGTGTGTCTATGAATATTTGTGGTGTGTGTGTGTGAATGTTTGTGTATGCTTGTGGTGTGTGTGTGTGTGTGAAGGCTTGTTGGGGTATGTGTATATGTATGAATGTTTGGTGTGTGTGCATGTGTGTGTATGCTTATAGTATGTTTGGTTGATGAGTGAATGCTTATGGTGAGTGCACTTGTGTTCATGTGAATGGTTTGGGGAGTGTGTGTGTGTGCACACTGTGAAAATGCTCATGGTGTGTGTGAATGCTTGTGATGCAAATGGGAACATTTGTTGTGTGGGAATCCTCGTGGCATATTGTGAATTCTTGTAGTATGTGTTTGTACAAATGCTTCTGCTGTGTGCATGTGTGTGAATGCTGTGGTGTATGTGAATTCTTGTGGTGTTTGTGTGTATATGCTTGTGATGTGAGAGAGAGAGAGAGATGATGCTCATGGGGTGTTGTGTGTGTGTGGCACATGTACCCATGTTTGTGCAAAGGACAGAAGAAGACAATAAGAATCATGCTCTACCACTCTCTGCCTATTCACTTGAGTCAGTATCTCAGTGAACCTGGACTATAACCTATGGTTCTAGACATCATGAAGCACAAAAAGATGAGAAGAAAGAAGACACAAATTTATCAAAATTGCAAAATGTAGAGCATATAAGTGATTTTTCCTGAAACTTAAAATCCTGTAGCATGCAATACATATCGATAATTATGGGGAAAAGCATACTTCTGTGCTTAAATATCCATCAGTCATTTTGATGTACAGAAATCTAAATCTAACTCTACATTTTAGAAACTCTGTAATTGTTCAGTTATGAAAGATATTTTAAGAGATATGGACTGATAATCCACACTTGTCTTCTAGATGGGTAAGCAAAATGACCTTTTGAACTAATAGAACTAGCCACTGTTACAACTCTCTTGGAACATTTATGTTACATATTTACAGATTTCTATATTCAAGAGAACCATGCATCTGTTGTAAGGAGACGTCTGGCTGCATTCTTTTCCAGATACTAATATAGGTGGCACTTCAGTAGTGTAACCAATGACATGAAGAACCTGATTTGGAAGGGAACAGATGGTAGCATCTTTCTTGGGCTAAGTTTAGAATCCTGAAATAGTTCCTTTCTCTCACAAGCTATCCATGAAACCAAATTTAAAAAGCTATGTCACATGGGAAGGGGAGAGAAATATATATCTCAGTGCAAGGAAAAGACAATGCAGCACAAGTTTCAGTGCTTTCCTCTTGCTTGCCTCATATAAATATAAAGGTCACTTCAATTTCCTTCCATCCAAATGGATGCAAAACACCAGCATGGGAGTATTTTTTAAAATGAGTGGGACAAACCATACTTTTAGTCATATATAATAAAATGATCAAGGTTGACCCATGATTATATACATACATACATACATACATACATACATACATACATACATACATACATGGAAAACCAAGTTTTGCAAACTTTTTTTAGTGAATAAACATCTGTAGGCTAACTGGCTACTATGCCTGATAAATCAAAAGTAAAATGAATTTCAAAGCAGGCATGCCTATTTCCAGTTCACTGCTTTGTCTGTTGAGAAAATCTTTCTCCCAAATGAGACAAAGTATCAATTAAGGATGAAAAGCTATGGAGAGAAAAACCCTCAACCATGAATAATGGTTTAGGTATAAAATGAGCATCTAAAACAGTGGTTCTCAACTTTCCTAATGATGTTTTAATACAGTTCCTCTTGTTGTGGTGACCCCCAATTATAAAATTATTTTCATTTATTTTACAGTGTTTTGCTACTGTTATGAATAGTAATGTAAATATCTGTGTTTTCCAATGATCTTAGGACCCCTGTGAAAGGGTCATGACCCCACAGGTTGAGAAACACTGATCTAAAGAGTTGAGAAAATGAAAAAATACTTTGTACATGCACTGACCTGCTTTCCATCAAGGGTGTACAGTTTTTTGACGACTCCGGTTTCAAGCTTGATTGCTTCTGTGATATCAGTGAGAACCTGCTCGAACGAGTGGGCTGTTTTCTTGTTGAGAAGCACACGCACTGCCTTCCGGGGTTTCACGCCGCTGCGGATGATGGTCACAAGTTTGGGGCGCACAAAGTCCTTGTTCTCTCTGGCTTGAGCACTGTTGCTGCTAGCCAAGGACTGGGGAGCTTTCATATTGGCAGATGTTTTTACGTTGACGGACCAATTGGGATTGACATTCTTGGTGTACTCAACCTTTTTAAAGAAGTTGTCTGAAGAACAGACATAGCTTTCCCCTAAGGGAAGAAAGAAAAGGTTAGTTGATAAGTCCCACAGTATATATGCAGATGCAAATCAAGCTACTATATGCTCACACTGCAATAAGGCTTTTAGTGAAATGTTGAGAAAATAACCAACCTTATGTCCAGTTCCTAAACTTGACTTACTCAAATTCAAAAGTAATCAGCTAATCATTTTTTCAGTAGAATGACATTGCTAAAGAACCTTGTAAATCTAAGGGTTATTAAACCAGCTAGCACCTCTATGTAAGATTTAATAAGTGGAATTCCCACAATCGACATTATGCTACTGGGCTGTAAATATCTTTCACCTTCTATGGCGTTCATTAACTCCCATGTAGCACTGGAGCATGTCTAACTTGTTTCTATGTCCTGATGGCCCTGTGTTAGTTTTGCACTCATAGTCTCATCCTTTTGCTGATGCTAATTTATCTTTATTTCAAATTGAAGTAAACCAAACTACCTTATATACCAGACATTCAGTACAAACTTGATCAAAAGCAAAGCAAAACGATCCTTTGCACAGACTATTGGGCTAAATGGCAGAATTGTTGAAATGTAAAGGGTATGTTTGTGTGTATGTGTATGTGTTTGTACATGAGTTTAATGTCTAAATGTATGTATAAGTGTGTTATCTACTGCTTATCCTTCTCCAAATGAAGAAAGTATCTAAATGAACTACACACAGAGAGAGAGACAGAGAGAGCATTTTTAGTGTCTGTAAGTCTGGCTCTTCCTTAGAAAATATGTTTTTCTATTTCCACTACTCCTTTGCATCTTTCTCCATCTTTCTAAATATTGCCCATTACATCTGTGTATTTGATGCCATCTCCATCAGTTGCTTTGGGTTGCTACAGTAATGAGTGGGAGAGTGCATTATGCAGCCTGACTAAACTGAAAAAGGTCTAGTATGAGTTTTACATTCACCGTAGGCTGGTGGAAATGACTAATGCAATGGAAGAAATGCAGTGGCCAGAGGCAAGAGGAGGGCATTAGACACATGGAACTAGAAACTAAAAAAAAAAAATTAGGAAAGAGTTAGGCTTAGCCTGAAGGAGAAGTATATTGACAAAAAAAAAAAAAAGCTGAAATTGCTGAGTAAAGCACATTAGCCTTGAGGTATACAGAAGTTCATCCAGAGGTTGAACTGTAGAAACAGTGATTTTTATCAGGCTTTAAGTTATCAGTAATAAAATTAATATGTAGACAAATATATAATCCTTAGCCAGTACAAAAAAAAAAAGATTAAACACAATTAAAGTCAGATGGCTCTTCTACTTCCTTTGGTCTCAATAGGAAAACTACACAAAGACATTCAGAAATACCAGGCTGACAGTTTGTCCCCTTTGCAAATAGTGATTGCACCAAATCCTTTAAGTCATGAGAATTAATAAATTTCTCAGTTAGTTCAAAGATTCAGTTCAAAGATTCAGTGGCAATCTCTAGGGTACTTTGAGGGCATGATGCTTAATCTCACTTATGGTCTGTTACAGTAGGGAAACCAAGACATGGATTACAGGCCATCATAGGTACTGGCCCTACTTGGTACACAGGTGTTTAGTCAGGATAGGAATTGAAATTGCAAGCTAAAAGACTCTGATTTTCTTAGCCTCGTGACATGCAAATCCAGCGCAACCCCAGTGTTCAGAGGCTGGGACCTATAAAGTGTGACACAAGGATAAAGGCCATTCATTTCTTTTGTATACTCATATCCAACATCCGTCCCACCACATACACTAGAAATGGCCTCTTGCCTCTCTGCTTCATCATATCCGTGGGCATCTTCCAGGGGATCACTGCCTTTGAGTCAGATATTTTCCATTACTTGCCATACACTTTCAAACTCTGTCAGACAACTGGTGGAGTGGAAACATCCAGGGCTTTATATTTATGATTTCACTCATCCACAGGCTCTTCTGAAGAGTCAGCTGTGTCGCCCTATTAAACCTCTAAGCCTCTGAACTACAAGAATGATTAACTACCCCCAGATGAAAATGAATATGATGGCAAATAATTAGAGTATCATATGGCACCCGAGAACTTTCCACAGGGCTCAGCCCTCAGCCAAATCTATGTTGAGCACCTTCTGAGGGTACATTTTAATCACTCCACTACTTTTGGCCTGAATACATAGCAGTGGAAAAAGAACAGCTGGTATGATGTCAGTCAGATTGCGATCCCTAACACTTTCTAGCTGGATGACCTTTGGCAAATTACCTGACTTCCTTGGCAGCAGTCTCTTGTCTGCGAGGTGGGGGGTGCTAATAATAAGCCCTACCTTATAGGGTAGCTGTGGGGCACAAGTCCAGTGAAAGATGACAAATGCTGAGACAAGAGACTGATGCATAGTAAGCACTTTGTAAACTCTCCTCATTATCATTAAGCCCCTCGTCTAAAGGGCAGATAACAAGGAGGAAAATGGAAAGAGGAAAAGGAAGAAGTATGAGCTGAGAGAAGGGGGTGTAGGGTGAGGAGGGACCAAAGCTAAAGAAGAACAAAAATGCATCAGGGTCAGCTGTCTCTGACTTGAGCTGTGCTGACTGTGTGCTGTGAGTATTTCTGGAGTCCTGTGCCTCAAAGATAAGATTGCCTTCTATAGGCGGGACATGGAGGTACATTCCTGTAATCCCCAACCTCAGGAAACAGGAAAGTGAGGGTCTCTGTGAGCTGAAGGCAGTCTGCTTCACAGTGAGTTCCTGGCCAAAGAAGGCCTACCTAATGAGACCTTGTCAATTAACTAATTAATTAATTAATTATGTTCCTAGAAAAGAAGCCTCGTAGAGTTGTAAATTATCAATGCACGGGCTTTATAGCTCACACACAGCAAAACCATTGCTGCCTGCTGCAATTGCTGATGCCCACTTAGGGCCAGACATTTATGATGATTAAGAATAGTGATTTAGCCAGGCAAGGTCATACAAATCTATAATCCCAGCACTTTCAAGAGGTAGGAGGGGAAGTTGTTCAAGGTCACCCTCAGCTACATAGCAGGCTTGAACTACAGGAGACTGAAAGAAACAACAAAAGCACTAGTGCCTTATAGCAGAGCACGGTGGCCCCTGCTTGTAAATCTCAGCAGTATGGAGAAGGAAGACAGACCTTAATTCAAATCCTAACCAGGCACTTAGGAGCCATATGACCTCAGGCATGCCACTTAATCGCCATAAGTCTTGACTTCTTTGTCTACAAACTGAAGGCATTTCACTGCATGATAGCAGTCCCTTGTGGGCCTAAAGATGTATAAGAGGGAATTTCTTTTCTCTTTTCAATCTCAAACAGGCTTGACGAAAGAGTTATTGCAGTAATCAAATGCAAAAACACAGATGCCAATCCCCAAGGACCTTCTAGTCCTATTATTGGAAAGGCCTAGATGTGTTGCTTGGTTAAGGACAAGATTTCCTGGTTCTGATCTTGCAAAATTTTCCCAGGTCTATTTTTCAGAGCCTGGCATTTCCTACATGGTTACCTAGCACTTGGAGCTGGGTGAGGCATATTGCACCTTTCCGCAACTGAGTCTCCACCCTGCCACAGCCTCCAGTGGCTAGTTTCCACCCTCTGGGAACCTATGAAGAAAGCTGTTTCTCAGCCAAGCAAATTGGAATTCACCTGCATCAGGATGAAGGGTAAGGGAAGTGAAATGGTGGAAACACAGCTACAAAGACATAAAGGGGGCAGATGTGAGGTTCAAAATGATCCAATGAGTACGCTTCTTCACCTTTAGGAAGGCTCCATTTTCCAAGGAGTCATATGCATTTATAATCTCTTAATGCAAAAACACTTTTCCCTGTGCTTTCTATTCTTTCCTGGGGATTCCTAACTCAAGAAAGAAAATATTGAATGATACTTCATTGCATTATTACATCGAAATATTAAAAGATGGCTTCTTATATTATCATGCTAACACATCACTCCTGAGTATCCTAAAATCCCTGCTTTGGGTGATGCACTTGCTTTAGTATCAAGAGACTTAGTAAAAAGGCGGTTTCATCTCATTGGAACAAGTGCACTATGGTAAAGAAGCTGGGTCTCACAGTGTCACTATATAGCTCAAATTATCCCAGACACTTTGAAGTATTCCTCCAATGTTCTGCATAATTAATAGTGTTCAAACTTGTCTTAATACACAAAAACTGGGCTGGTCATAAGTATAAGCCTTAAATCAATGAGTGTATATAAACATGGACGTGAATAAAAGATTAGATATGATGGAAATAGACATTGATTCTCTAATGAGATATAAATAAAAGACAAACAAAAGGAAATACCACTGACAGATCTCCTTCATTGACCAGCTGGGGACACAGTTAATGAGGGCCACATCCTCTGTGGTTTTGCCAAGACCCTTGTTGTATGCAAGAAGCTGTGGAAAGGCTGACATGAAAAATGGGGTTTAGACTCAAAATGTTTCCCTTGATGCTTTCCACATCTAGCAGCAGACAGTTGACTAGAGTCACCAAACAAAAGGAGCAACAGAGGTGTCATAAGGTCAGAGCGATTCACATTTGATTTTTATTTTACCTAATTTTAGGCTAAACATTTAATATTCTGATCATTTTGGAAACATATATTGTGTTATCTACAAAACAAAAAAGGAACAGAAGTGAGGATTTGTACAGCTAGGAACTCTGTATCACAGTTGTTAATGGAAAGGACTCATCAAAATCACTTCATTTAACACTCCAAGTTTTAATGCTAAAAAGAATTTTTCAAGAAAGAGTGTCAACATGAATTCAGAGGCTCTAAACCTTGAGGTTCTGTCTCAGTTGATTTGCAATGTATTCCAGGACCACTGTAGCCCAGGCTGGCCTCAAACCCACTATCCTCCTGCCTCAGACTCTTAATACTTGGCTTGAAAGATGTGAACCACTGGACCAGACTAAAGCAATTATTTTTAAAGAGAAAACGTTAGTATCATTGATGATAGAGACAGTCCTGTAATCATGTAGCTAACCAGGTACAGATTAGGATGACACAGGCAGTAAGAGCTATCATTTATTGAATATCACTGCGTATTGAAGAAAAATAGAAAGCATCTCATAGTTCTTAATTGATTTTCAGAGCAACTGATTTCACTTCATACACCTAAACTGATTTCCGCAAGTTTCTACAGGCCAGATGCTAACAGATCGGAATTCGAAACAAATCTCATTCCCAGTATTTCACTTTCCATAGTAACCTGTTCTAAGATGGGAACCCGATATTCCTGATTCTTCACCTGGAATCCTTCCAAACATCCTCAGTTTAAATCTTAACTGGAAACAGTGTGCATTAATAATTTTTGCTCTTCCATTTACATTCTTCTAAAAGTAGACAAAATTAAGGGATTTCTAATCTTTTATCCTAGAAAAGAGACTCTGACAAAATGAGAACAAAGAAAGCCCTTTCATGTCTTCCTCACCCCAGTGCTTTTCCACTTAGCTATATGTTAGTTTGGAAAAATTGTCACATTACCAACACTCCCCCATAAATACCTCTGGTTTTCTCAACATATGACTGAAGAAGCATTGGCATCCACTGTTGCTTGGGCTTGTAAGAAGACAAGATGAGCCCCAAGACAGCGCCCCTTACCAGCAGGAATTAGCTTGGAAAGAACGACGCCCAAATTCCCAAATATTGTGTATAAATATTTGTTTTCATTTAATTGGACTTTGTTATATAAAATTAAAAATTAAATTAAATTAAATAAAAAAGAAGACAAGATGAGTAAATTTAATTGATCCCTATACATATTCTATACTAATTGGGAATACATCAGGAAATACCATTGCATCCAGAAGTGGTATATGGTTCCAATTTAGCAGGGACCAGGAGAACACAGGTGGGAATAAAGCTATAATCTGTTTTTAAAGTTCATACCGATCACCTATGCAGATTAAATTGAGATGGTTTATCATCACTTTTTCTCAATACACACACACACACACACACACACACACACACACACGGGTGGGGGCAAATTTGTATAATATGGAGGGAAACCTGTGCAAAACATTGATATTAAATATAACATTTTCACTCTTACTCAGAATACTATGTCTAGCTCAGATTCTGGCCTAGCATGTAGTATGGTCTTCAAATGTTCATAAGATAGTAGATATTAAGACAAACTGGGAAAATCGGTGTGCTTTATAACAGGTATTACAGCGAAATCCCTCAACTTGGACTGAAATATAGATTTCACAGCAACTGAAGACACACATCTTATTGATTACTCTGTTGGACAGCTCCCTCGACAGAGCATCCAAATTTGGAATAGACCCCAACTGGCCTCCTTTTATTTTCAGATATGCCCTAGAACAATTAACCCTTTGATGATCACGACAGTCTAGTATCAATGTTTGCCTACCCTCCCTGAGTATGATCTAAACATCCTCCTCCAAGTGGATTTTCAAGGTCAGCTATGTAGAAAACCCTTAGATTTGAGTCCTGAGAGTCAGATGGAACCATTATGTGGATATTGTCTCTTATAAGTTACTTACCCAAATCACTTTACATTACTACTTTGAAAACAACAGCTACATGAATAGGACCTTGCATAAGGGAAACCTTCATGTCCCTTTGTCTAAGAACATAGGAAAACTTAACACAATGAGGAAGAGCTGGGATACTCCTACTAAGTCACCATATGCACAACATATGCACAGTTTCTTTTTCCTTGTTGGATATTTATAATCTAGATTCCCTAGAGATCTGTTTGCACTGACTCACCTCTGCTCAGAGATTGGGAGCAATGGGGGAGGGATGGAGGGTCTGAATAATGTAGGAGAGATTGGAAGAACCTTTTCATTGTCTCTATTCCTTGAGGCTATCCTTTAAAGTAGCTATGAGTTAAATTGATCACAATAATTTATATGACAATATAAAATATTAACAATATGACACAAGATCAATTTTCTAAATATCTATAAAAAAGAAAATATGGTTGAACAAGTTTTGTGGAGAGGTGGGATTTTATCTCTATTATCACGGGGGTCCACAAGTTGTCAAGGTTTTCAGCAGCCAACTCAGAAATTTCAGTTGCAATCCCAAACTATAGAGAAGATCTGAAAGGATTTAGGTAGAGTGACTCATTCCTACTCTAATAGAAATGGCATTCATTAAAATACCAGACATACCTACAGCTTTCCTTCTGTATTTCTCCTAGTGATCTCAGCCTCTCAGACACACCCTGAAGTGAATTTTTTAGAAGCAACAGCTGAGCAGCCACCACTTACCTAAAAGTCTAATCCTCTGTGAACATATCCAGGAAGTCCTGCATTGGGGCGTGTATTTCTAATGAGCAGCAATCCCCAAACAATATCTCAGCAGTTCATAGGAAATATGGGCACAAATGTTTTATCTGTTAAACCAACCAAATATTCTTCCTTCCTCTAATGATTTCATGGCATGCTTTGATACTGCCACACAGTTAAATATGAACAAGATCTAAGTGAATGCCACAATTCATATTTTTCCTTTGTTTACTCAGGCAGACAAGCATATTTAGCATTAGCAACTCCATGTACATTTCAACCTCAATAGAGATGGAACCCCATGAAGAGTGACAGCTAATGGTCCTGTTGGTGACTTTGAAATCAGAAACCTGAACCATCAGTCAGCCTAGTGTTTTGGCAGACAAATAGCTTAGTTTCTTTCAAGGAAGACTAAAAGTGTAATCATAAACAAGAACATCCTTTTCCTCCAAGGGCTGCCACCCACTACTTAAATTACCTTCTTCCAATTCATCCATGCTTCCGATTTTCCTGGATCCATCGATGGTGTAAATATAGCGCACTCCCTGAGGCAGGTTGATGTTGTCCGACAAGGATCGAGTCAGGTCAGCCAGCAATGCGTCAAAACTACGGAAACGGTCAGAAGAAACAGCGTACACAATCCCCTTGAAGTATCGATCCCCATTGCGGTAGAAACGTACCTTCTTGGCCTTCTTCTCATTACTTAGTGCCTGCAAGGTTCTGGTTCTATAGAAGCTACAGTGGGCACTGTGAGTGGGACTTGGAAGGCCATTCATCCGTGTCCCTCTCATATTCCTAGATGCCTTGTCTCTTTCGTCAAAATGTCCAAAATCAAGTTCCATATTTTTATGGAACCACGGCAACCTGATTGTTAGAGAAAGGGGTGGGGATAAGGAGAGGCAAAGAATAAGGAAGGGTAAGAGAGAAAAAAAAAGGAATTCAAATATTAGCCAGATCCAGAGCTGCAATCTGCTGCCTGTGAAAAGAACTGGTTGAAAAAAGCCTGTGACCCATCTGCTGCTGGTCCCTGACCTACAGGAATATTGATCTTAATAGAGAAAAAGGAGGGGGCTGGGCAGTTGGAATGAATGCTGGGGAGGGGGACAGGAGCAAGAGATATAAAGGGTGGCACTTTTGGCACTGTTCCAAATTTGGGAGGAGGTGTTGAAATGGCTTAAAAACCCTGGAACTTACTGACAGTGACTCCTATCAAATTGTAACTTGGGGCAAAATACATTAAAACTGGCATCTGCTACTTCACACATGGCCACATGACTAACAGTTGTAAATAAATTCCTAGCCTGACAAAATTCCCCTTGAAGAGAAATAGGGAACTAGCCAAGGAAGGTTAGGAAGCAGGCTTTGCAGCGCAATACAATGACTAGGAAGAGGAATATTTTAATTTTATTCCAAATCCTTTTTTTCCTACTCTAATATGTGTATTCCCCTCCCCCAGAATAAACTAGGATTCTCTTTTAAAGGGACAGCCTCGAGGGAAAACCCAGTGTCTTTGTGCTATTCATCAAACGCTCTCCCATCAAGCTGGTGCTGCTATACAGCATTCATAAGAAATAAGCTGGGGTTTGAAAAGGGGGAGGAGGATGTCGAAAAACCAGTTATTTAACAAGCTATTAGCCCTGCTTTCTTCTTCTTGCTTCTATTTGGTCACAGAATCCCTTTTTGTCTTTTCAGGTGTTGCATCCCCTCCCCACCAATGCAGTGGCACCTTTTAATGGAATAATTTAATTGTGGAAAGATTAGCATATGGGACCTTTACAAGCAAGTGCACCTCTCATTGTTCTGGTTTTCTACCGACCGGAGGAACATTTTGCCCCTGCAGCAGGCAATTCGTTTCAAACTTGTCTATTGCCTAGGTACATTGATAGAGGCAAAAAAAAATGGTCATTTGTCATGCTTTGATCTCCCCACCCCCCACAGACACACACATGGCTGAACCCCTCCCCACTAGATAAAAAGCACCAAAACAATGGAAACATGCAACCAAATAATACAATCAAAGCCCGGAACGCTCACAAAGGTAATGTGTCATACAAGGAATCAAACTATTAGCATTCACCTCACAGATGGATGGAGAGAAGACTCACAAAGCAAGAGGGCTCAGCTGCTACATAACTGCCACATCAAGATTTACAAGGGACCAGGGAGACAGGAGGAAAAGGGGGACTGGTAGCTGGTGTATTTGCCAGACTCAGTTCCTTTTTCCAGTGTCACCATGACCTATGCTGAGCTCAGCATTGTCTCTGTCAGACAACCTGCAGTAGTAAGACCCCACCTCCTCAAGACAAGTATCAAGCATTTCCCCCAGGCGCGCTGTGCAAATAAAGCTTATGCTTTAGAATCAGAAGTGCTACTATTCTAAATTAGCATCATAGTGAAAACAAAGGAACAACAAACTCACTTTTCCAAAGGAAAAAAATCCCAGGTAATTCTTAGAGAACCAAAATCCTATAGAATAAGACAAAGAAAAGAAAAGAAGACAGAGACAGACACACACAGAAAGAGAGCTGTGTGCCTTGTGCTTTTCCCGTTTGACATCTGTTTCATTCTGCTTGAAAATCACTCGAAAGCCCCACTCACCGGTTTTCTGCTGGTTGGGTGGAGATGCTGAGAGAAAGAAAACCAATCTCTCTATGCCTTTGTTGTCTGAGCTCCAAGCAAGAAATTCCTGCCAGGGTGGATAGTTGCCTTCTAGGTCCTAGTGCCTTGTCCAGCTTTTCCCCTGTAACTCAAGCTTAGCGAGCACCCCCAACCTCCTATGATTAATTACATGCTTTTTTCTTCAATTCACAGCCTGCATTAACAGCTAGAAAGGTTTCATTTATAACCCACAGGAAATTGCAGGGTAGCAAAAAAAAAAAAAAAAAAAAAAAAAAAAAAGATTGCACAGGCAAGCTCAGAATGCTCTAATGAGCAATGTGCTAGCCCTTTCTTTTAGAAAATTGGCAAGGCTAAAACCTTGGCCTAATCTGCCTAATGGCTAGATGCAGCAAGCCAAACCAAGTTTCTTAGAAATCCCAGCTTTCTTTCTTTTACCTTCTTCAGAGAAAATAAAAACCTGTAAATGTTTTGACATTGAGCTAGTGTATACAACACTGATTCTATGGGAAACAAAGTAATCAGGGATAGCAAATGAGCAATATATGGAGAAATCTTTACAGAAATTATGAAAAGTGACATTCCTCCAAGTTTTCATTCAGTTGTCTTATTGAGATGGGTTCCATCTTTGTAGTCCTAGTTGACCTGGAACTCACCATGTATCCCAGGCTGACCTCTGACTTGCTGAAAATTTTCTTCCCCTGTTCTGCACTAGTATTTGTCAGTATTTGGGCCACAATGCCCAGCATCTCTCCAAAAACATTTTAGGCTGATGTAAAATATTGGTTAATGGTTCACCTTCCCACTCCTGGGAATATACCCAGGAGACAATAGCCTACCACAGAGACACTTACACATCTGTGTTTACTGCTCTTCTATTCATAAAAGTCAGAAAATGGAAACAGCCTAGATGTCCATTAACAGATGAGTAGATAACGAAACTACAAGGTATTTGTACAATTTTAACCATTCATAGGTAAAAATAGAAATTATGTGATTTTCAAATTGAGTGGAGTTGAAAATACTATACTGAGTGAGGTGTCCTAGGATGAGAGAGACACAAGCAATTGTTTTCGCTTGTGTAACTCCAGGCTTATAACGTCTTGGGGTGGAAGGGAATGAGTATAGATAGAGGCCATGAAACTACAAAGGAGCCTACAAGAAGGGAAATGATTTTTAAGACTGAGGTCTACTCCACAGAATGGAATTCATCTGGTTCTATAAAACTGGCCAAAAGTCGGTGTCTGTGGCAGTCATAAGCCCTATAAAGAAACCAATTACTGTTATTTTGCTTAGTGGACACATGTCAAACAACCTTCTAAGTGTTTATGTCTCCACCTAAAGATTAAAGATTAATTAAAGATATGGCTGCTGTCAGTCATGGTCAGAGCAATTTCTGTTTGCAGTTGTCAACAGCTAATGTGGAGATTCATAATTGGTCCATGTGCTGAGAACAAGTAACTTTTGAATGCTCAGCCCTAACTGTGACATTTCTACCACCCCTCCAGGGTTCAGGAAGCATCATTGAAGAGAGGGCTGTAAGAGCATAAGAGGTGGTAAGCTGAGGAGTTTCTCCCGGATATGGCACTTATGAACTCACAATAGCTATTGTTACTTGAAGAAGACCAGTACAAGATCAGGACCTCAGCATTCCATTATGGAAGGGGCAGGAACTTAGGAGGATCTACTTACTGTTCCCCGAGGAATTATGGGCAGTTAATGGCTGCTGGGAGAAAAGGACTCGGACCATGCTCATAGTAAGACACAAAGATATCCCATAGGATCCTTCCCCAAAGTCATCTATACATTTCAAGAAAAAGTCGACTAAGAATTTTTTCTAAAGCAGAGCATTGGTGGTGCATGTCTTTAATCCCAGCACTCAGGAGGCAGAGGCAAGAGGATCTCTGTGAGTTCGAGGCCAGACTGGTCTACAGAGCTAGTTCCAGGGCAGGCTCCAAATCAATCCAGAGAAACCCTGTCATGGAAGAAAAAAGAATTTTTTTGAAATACCAAAAAGATGTTAAAATTGTCATGATAGAATATAAGCTTTAAATATAGTGAAGATGACAGAGAGAGAATGATTATGAATAAAGATTTAATCTGCCAAGATTTGTTATAAAGCTGTGGAAATGAACATATCTTGCCATAGCATTGGCTTGGAAGACAGATCTTTGGGACAAAACAGAAATCAGCATCAATAGGATCTTAGTATTGGAAAGCATAATGGTGAGAGTATGAACTTTGAGCCAGACTACCTGGGTTCAAATTCTGTTTCTTCTAATGTTTAGGTGGTGATTTTGGGTGAGACTACGAAGAGGTGAGTCCTTTGGTGACGTGGTAAGGTATTGAGTATCTCCCTATCTCCCTCCTGAATGAGATTAATCCTTTTTTTTTCCACTTTTTGGAAATAGGATTTTATTCTGAGGCCCTGGCAGACCTGGAACTCACTATAATAGTGTAGGCTGGCCACAAAAAAAAATGTGATTATTCTGAATCACCACTCCTACCTGGAATTAATGTTTTTACAAAATCTATTGAAGAGAGCAACATAGGAAATTTTTTTAGCCTTCCACCAAGTCCATAGGTTCATTGATCTTGGGCTTCCTTCTCATTGGAACCATTGAATGAATTTCTATGATTTTTAGCTTACCCATTCTGCTGTAGTTTGTTATTGTAGTAGTGACAGACTAAGCAACTATCCAAGAAAAGCTCATACACAAGTTAAAGAAAACAGCTACAACTACATCCATTAAAGTATTCTTTAAAATGTTGAAGTAATTGAAACAACCCAAATATCTATTGTTAGTACACTAATCTGATGACCTTTTCAAATATGAGATTTCACAGACAATAAATAGACTACAGATGAGCTACACCAAAGTTGTAGAATGACAAAGTTTCTTCTCAGCATCCATTCAACTTCCTTTAAATTGAACCCTCAAATTGCAGACGTTTAAAAGATGAAAACTATTAAGAAACTTAGGTTCCTGGGATTGGTATGTAAAATAAGAGAAGATTCTTTTAAAATAGACTAAAAAATAATTTTTAAGCCCTATAATAAAGCAACCAGAAAAAAGAAAAGCAATAGGTTCCTCCCATTATGCACATTTGCATGAGATGTAGAATGGGGAAGAAAAATTGATGCTATTCTCCTTCCTAATGATCTGATTATTCACCCTAGCAAAGAAAGTCATAGATGGCCAGGACATTGCTACAACAGCCTTACAATGTCCAATTAGCAACTTTCTGAGAATCAAAGGGCATGGTTATAACAGCAGTAGAGGTCTGATCCCAGGAAGTATGTCACTGCTCTTGTTTGCTCCAGTGGTGGCCTCTTACCTCATTCTTTCCTTAATGTAATAAAGGTCACAAATCCTTAGCATATGCTTCCTCAGTTTTATAAATATCTGATTTCCTGAATTAAATCCTTCTTCCTCATCTTCTTTTCTTCTTCCTTCCTCTTCCTTCTTCTTCTCCTCCTCCTCCTCCTTCTTCTTCCTCTATCTCTCTCCCCTCCACTAATACGACTATATATAATAGGCTGGTCATGAACTGATACTCCAACCCTGACCTCATAAGGTGATTATGACAGAAATGATCTTTAGCAACAGATTACTAAAGATGGATCTCTTGGATGTGGTATCTGACTACTTGTGCTTGAAGGTGAACTTTTGACATGAAATTTGGTTGTCTCAACATAGTTTTAAGCTAGGATAATGTTTCTAAGGGAGTTAATATGCTTAGGGCAAGGTTTCAAATTCTCAGCTCTCTGCATAGTTTTATGATTAGTCTAAAATAATCTTATAAGATTTGAGTCATAAAATTTGTAGCTTAAAGTGAGACTCAGAGCTGAAAGTGACTGAGTTACAGCCTAACTTCATAGGCCTTAAGTTTGTATGTTTTTAACTTTCATTTTCTTAGAGCACACTTGATATTTACTAACTTTGTATACATTTTTCTATTAGCTTAAATCTTTTCTTTAGACTAAAAGGGGAATAAGAGTGAGATATATGCGCCACCTGCCCCTGTTGCACTGAACACACCCATTGGGGTAAGGGGACAGGTGCGGGTGTGACCTGAAGGAACCCTGTTGCTTCCTGGTCAGAGACAGAGAGCGTCTGGAAGCACCCTTGTGACAGGAACGTGCTGGCGGTCATCTGTTTCTAGTATACATGATTTCTCCCCAAATAAACATCCATCAACCTATTCATTTTCCCAGATTCTTACTTATCCATGATAAAACTTGGATTTCAGTCTCTTCCATTTTCTACCCAGATACTGACTTTGCTTTAGTGTGTAAGCTGTGTCCTCTTTCTATAAGAATATGTTTCTCACATCTAATAAAGTTGCTCTTGCCTTGATATGACATCAGGTAATAAGTTTGTCCAACTAGGTGTTGTATACCTAGATACTAGTTTGTTTTCATCTCAACCTTTACTAGCCTAATAATGCTTCTGGAACTATAACAAGGGTGAGATCTCAGTATTACTCAATGAGCAAGTCTTCAAATGTTGTTTCAACAAATAAGCATAATCCTTAGAACCTTACATATAGCTACAATCTGTTGGTGTTGTCTCTATCTTTATATGAACATCTCCACAGCATACACAGTACTGACAGGATCTGGCTGATCCAGCCTGTTTTTGCCACTAGGTCTTTATGACTCAACAAAACAGTGGTGGCCACTGTAACCATAGCAACCCAGGGTGTGATACAGTTGACAGCAAGTCCCAATAGGTGGCAGAAAGGGGTATCAGGAATGGAAGAGGGGAAGGGATAAAACAAAGAGATGAGTGTAGAAGAAAGGTAGTAGAGGTGAAAAGGGGGTAAGGAAGAAAGGAAAGGAGGGGAGGTATAGGCAGGAAGAGGGAAGGAGAAGAGAAAGAAATTTGAAGAGGGAAAAGGAAGGGGAGGAGGTGTCGTGAGGGAGAGGAGGAGGAAGCTTGGGAAGGCAGCAGAGGAAAAGAAACTGTAGGAAAAGGGAAATGGAAGAAAAGAAGGGGATGTGAGAAGGGGATAAAGTGAGTAGTAAAGGAGGGGAGCGTAAAGGAAGAGGGGGAAAGAGTAATGGAGATGGAGGGAAGGGAAGAGGGAAGGGAAAGGTGGCAGGAAAGGA